TTTAAGGCTCATTTTACAGGACTATGAAAAGTTGTATAAATTATGGAAGGACAAGATAAAAATAACGTTTTTCAAGCCGGTAACTAATGTTTCTGAGGAAATTTACTTGCGTAGATATTCGTTCCAAATTTTGGAACGAATTTTGAAAGCCGGTGGCAGTGATTGATGGAGTAAAGGAAAAAAGTTCCGGAACGGAAACGATAACTGTACGGAGTTTGGCATCCGTCTAGATCACTTCCTTTATTCAGTTATACAAAATTGGCAGAGTAGTCTTTCCATCTGGTTTACAATGTGTTAAAAAGTGATTCGTGTGATCTTTATTATAGTGGCTGGAGTTGTCTTTCAATCTGGACCGAGTTGTATCCAAGCATATCCTAGTTGTCTTGGGGTCGACTTGTTTTTGGTCCGAGTTTGTCATATCAACAAAAAGTAAAATAACAAAAATATCGAACTCCAAGGAAAATTCAAAATGGAAAGTCACTTATCAAATGGCAAAATCAGACAAAATGGGAAAACATGTTAAAAAAAGGAGTTCAGCAGTCAACACTGTGTTATAATCTTAATCACTATAAAACAAACAAATATGTCAACAAAGAAAAACGAAATGCCATACTGACAAAGCACATAACGAAAATGAAAGATAGGAATACAAAATTGACCTCAATAACACAATGGCCGGATGTATAAGTACCGAGCCACGCCAACAGGATATAACCAAAAATGGACTAAACAGTAAAGATTAATAATTTACAAAGACAAATAAAAGAAAACTATAACACGTAGTTAAGATGATAAACAACGTCAGTATCTAGAATCTATACTTAGTGGAGAAAAAACGGAATATTTAGCAACAAGGTCTTGGTATCTTCCGATGAACTTTTTTAGAAAAAGGACGAGACGTTCTTTGACATGACCCTGGTTCATCAACTTTCTGCTCAGACACTGGTGACATTTTATAAAGTCTGAGTAGCAGCTGCAAACTCTTGAATACCGAATGAGTTGGAAGATGTATATCCCATATGCAGGCGAAGTTGATATATTGCTACTAAGGTAGGGGAAATTGTTAATTTGAAAATCTCGTTTGTCATAGATGCTTGTACTGAGATGACCGCTTATGTCAAATTCGAGGTATAAGTCTAAAAGAGTGGCAGAGGAAGCCGTGTCTGTTGTTTCTTTAATTTCTAGTTCCGGAGGATATATTAATGGAACCCAATCAGAAAAGTTTGGATTGTTAATGGAAAGAACATGAAATTAAGTGATCTGGCTTCTTTGATCTTCCTGTTTTTGACAAGTGTCTGAAGGTTCATATGAAAATCTGATGAGGTCGGAGAGGCGCACAGTTCATTCCCATAGGAATGCCGACAATTTGTTGAAAAAGTCTACTTCCAAATTCAACAAATATGTTGTCAATAAGAAACTCCAGCATACTGATCTCTTGTTCTTCGGTGTAGCATGTTTTACCTTTTTGTTCACTATTAACAAAATGTGCCGTATGATATCCAACAGTTATAAATTTATAGCGTATGCTACCATTTTTATATTGAAAGGCATTGTGGATTATATCCTTTAGAAGATTTTTCAATTTCACATTGGAAATGGTGGTATACAGGGTTGAACAATCAAAAGTTTTCATAGAATTAATTTTAGAGAAAGATCGAGATTTAAAATTATCCAGAAGTTCTTTAGAGCTTTTTTAGAATCCACATATGGTTAACACCACTACGCGAGTCAACAGTTTCACAGCATTTCTGAAGACCCTCTTTCACTGCGGACAGAATTTTTGTCAATCTAAAGGACAATTCCTTTGTAGAACATGCAGACGAGCTGCCAATGTACTGTTGTTTGTACGGAATTTTGTGAAGCTTAGGTATCCAATACAAACAAGGTAAGTCCTCAGATTTGCTGTTCAATGTAATGTTCATTGAAGCCGTGGAGGACTTATGATTCGCCAAAATCTCATCCTTGTCAAATAATATGTTTTTCTATGTGGGATTACCTGAGTGCTCATTTATTCCTAATTCTTTTACAAGACGCTCGTAGTAGTACGATTTACATACAAAGACAATGTTATTTAGTGTGAAGAGATGATAGACATTTCACAGCTTCTTCTTCTCTGAAAACGGACTTTGGTCAATCATTCACACCGTTTTTCAACGTTTTATCAGATACCTGATTGTTTTGACACATTCTGACAAAGTGTCCAGTTCAACTTCGTCTCGTTTAGCCCATGCTCTGGCGTAGTCCTCAGTGGAATCCATAATTATATTGAAGTTATGGTTCCAATTGATGTGTTGGGGTTCTCTGAACTTAGAACCATGAGATATCACCTTTCGGAGAATTATGTTTAGATCTCAAGTAATAGCATGGCCAGAGGGGGTGTAAATATAAGGATAGTGGGAACAGTCCCATGTCAAAGGTTTTTTTTAGGTATTCTTCTAAATCAAGGTCCTGCAATGCTTGCGTATAGTTAAATACTTTAGGTGCAATGATTTTGGTGTAACTGTAGGATACAATAGGAACAGACTAAAAAAAGTGGAATTTTATATGTTACCTCTTTGTGATGAAGAACGTTGCTGATGTTGATAGCATCAATTCCTTTTTTAGTAAACTGAACTGGAAGGGATGTCCTCTTTTCGTCATGTAAAGGTTCCGATCTTACTGGTTTAAAAAGACGGAAAAGAGCTACATCACAAATTAAACTGACCAGTCTGTATATTGGAGAAAATGTATTTATGTACTTAATTATCCCTTGTCAAGTACATAATCTCGCAGACATTTTAGAAATTTAACAGGCAGTGAAAAAAGAATAGTTCTAATGTAATGTAACCCTAGCGGATGATGAAGATGTGAAAAAAGTTCATCAAAGCTCCCGGAGGGCGATCTAGATTTGGATGACTTTTTTTTTACATTGGGCCGATGGTTATGTTTTTGCCCATGACTACGTTGGTGTCTTAAAGTAGTATTAATTTAGCTCATTACATTGACATCACTGCAGGCTGGACTTGACAAGTTTCTTACTCCTTTGATGTTATCATTGCAACCATATGACATTGGAGTACCTAGTTGCCTTATCCAGAAATTCATAAATGCATCTTATGACCTATTGCTGGAGATTAACCATATAACTTCCATGAATCTGTATCCCTTTGACGAAAAATTTATGCTTTCAATTAAGATAATAATCATATTTTGATTGCGTCTTGTATGCTCAATCATCATAAGGTCCAAGATGTATCGAAATAATGTGAGGGTAAAGGTTGACAGAAAAATCATGAGGAAGAAGAGAGGATTAACGTTAACTTTCTTAAATTTTGCATTACTAATTACTGTAACACTTCAGTACAAGTCCATTATATATAGCATGGCATCATTCGGAGACCTTCAGAGGCAGAGTTTTTGATTTCTGCACTTCAGTACAGGCTTAATATATTTATGCATGGAATTATTGGGAGTCCGTCAGAGGTAGAATTTTTGTTTTCTACTCTTAATAAGATAAAAACCCACTGTACAAAAACATGTTCAGTTGAGGATACGGATCTGAGTCCGTTCGCCCTTTTCACGTTGACTCCAAGTTTAGATCGATCACTAAAGACTACGGATAATGAATATGTGTTTGATAAATTGTTTTCATCAATGGCACCATCAATGATTATGTTTTAGGATAACAATTTGTCGTTGCATGATTCTAATTCATATTGACAATATATAATTTTTTTCAGACAATAAACTCTGCCACAAGTACATGTACCTGGTATAAGTACATACACAATGTAAAAATCAATTAGGTGTGTACAGCTAATACTTCTATTCTTAGGTTGGATTTACATAACATATGACATAATCAGGTAATTTGTCTGACAGCCAATAAAAAAAATCAATATTTGTATGATTGAACGCATACTGCAAATATATAAATATAAGACCCCCAAAATATGACCAAGAACTTGTTTTTCTATTTCCTGGTATACAACGGGTAATGTGGTAAAATAATTTTATTTTCAAGATTTTTACAGAGATTCTATATGGAAGTATTCTGGAGGTTTAGAGTGTTTAACCGACAGGGTTCATAAATTATGTTGTTCGTTCCTCTAGTATAATCTTACAAAATATAATGCCAGTTCAATTAGAATTGACATGATTTTTGTTAAACATGGTTAAATACCATTGTCTAGAGAAGATTTTCAGGTTTGAATGTGTGAAAGCATTTCAATAATTTTCTTGAGATTCATTTAAAAATTACCAATCAGCATTACTGTTCAAGAAAATTGTTAAATGCGGTGTTCAAAGATGATATGTTTTCTTCTGTTCCTACATAGAAATGAAATAATGGCGATATGGATATTCGTCTATAAAACACAAAACAACCATAAAACATAATATCTAGCAGTCAACATACAATCAACAATATAATAGCTCGTGGCCATACAATTCTATCATATGACAGGCTCTAAATCGCAACACTTTTTGTTGTTTCTCCTTTTATCACTGTTCCAATTAAAATAATTATAATTTCAATTGCTAAAATGAGAGGAGGCATGTCATGCATTAAAAAGAAGAAACAAACAAACAAATTTGTCAATGTTACATGTTTGTATTGTTATTGCATATTTTTGTTATTTAGTAACAACCCTATTGATATGGAATATCTGATCTGATCTTGTCTTGTGGGGAAGAGGCAGTTATATGATTTATCTGGTAAATAATCTATAGTTTGGAGGTCAGAGGATTGGAGATATCTCGAAAGGTGATTGGAAGGACTGTGAGATTCGAATACCAATGTTGTTCCCTTAAAACAGGTTAAAACTAAATAATGGGAAAGAAATATGCATAGGAAAAACCGAGATATATTGAACAATTTAAAGTACATTGAATAGCAAAATCTTTAATTGGATAGGTTTTTCGTGTAATTTTAAAGTCACTTGTGTTTTTTAAAAATATCAATCTTTGCAAAAGGAATGTTTAAATGGGTTTCTATTGACATTAACCACACATACATTTTATATGCACACACATACATATGTATATTAATAAGTGTTCGTGTGGACAATGATAGGCATTTTATATTTGCTGTTCCTTTCCTTGGCTCCATTAGTATACGGTAAGTGTTGATAAATGGATGAACGTTGTTTTTTTAACTGGCAATTCTATAGCTATATTTACGATGATATGTGGATATAAACTCTGCTATTTCACAACACAACATATGAGCAAATTGTAAAAGCCAGTTGGAGAGGGCTTGACTCACATAAGTAGACAAATATAAAAGCCAAAAAATACAGCACGGCACATAGATCCGATCTGAGAGTACTGTAGTAACTTGAAACTAGTTCAAAGTTAAATCTCAACTAATTAATAAATCATAATCCTCAAATTAAAATATCAAGCAGTAACTGCTTGATACTGTAGGAATGGGGCTGTATAGATTTTTTTCAATTGTTGGCAAAGCCAGGGTTTTGAGAAAGATCTGTATCAATGTATATTGTCGAAACGAAATTTATTGGGAATTTTACGAAACGTATGTCGTAGCTGCTCTCCATGCAATTATTAGTGATACAACTGCACTTGGGTAGCGACCGTTCATCTTTTTTTGGGGAGGCATGTGTTTTAAAGAAATGGTTTCAATTAAAATCTTTTTGAATCAATTTATAGTTGGTTTCAGACGGAAAGTAAAGAAAAATAGGTGCATCGAAAATTATGAAAAACAAACAGCATTTCTACATTGAGTTTCAAATTGTTCCTTTTTTCCGGTACGTTATGCCATAATGTTTTTTGTTTTTGATTAAAGTCGAATAAAATGTTTGTTCTATGAGGAAAACCAATCATGCCCCCACAGAAGATGAACTGTCAGTGACTTCTAACAGCAAAAAGGTCTTTAAGTATGCCAACTTATTATGATTAATACCGAACAATTAGACATCGTGGTTTCAAAACTGCCAAACAGTTGCATGCCCTTCTGAAATATAAAAATCTGGAAAAAAGTAAAATAACAAAAATACCGAACTCCACGGAAAATTCAAAACAGAAAGTCCTTGATCAAATGGCAAAATCAAAAGCTCTAACACATCAAACGAATGGAAAACAACGGTCATATTCCTGACTTGGTACAGGCATTTCCTTATGTAGAAATTGGAGGATTAAAACCGAGTTTTATAGCTAGCTAAACTTCTAATTTATGACAGTTGCATAGAATTCCATTATATTGACAAAAATTTGTGAGCAAAACAAACAGACATAATAGGTAAACATGTCAAAAATTGAGGTACAACAGTCAACATTGTGTTACAATCTTAATTACCATAAAAACAAATAACTATATTTACAAAGAAAAACAAATGGTATATAGACACTCTATAGGCAAAGCACATAAGAAAAAATGAAAGACAAGAATACAAAATTTATACATAAGTTGTAGATCTCAACACTGTGAAAAATATTGTCTTCAGATTTCAACCCTTTTTATTTTTATTTTCTACTTTACTGTAAATGGACCTTCAAAAAATGAAAACAACACGTTATAAATTTCATGCATCCGAAGCGCTTTTCTGTATTTACCTTCAGCAGGAACGCTCAAAACCGAATATTAGAAAGCCAAGGATGTATAAGGACGGAAAACGTTGAAGAGCTATAAACCAAAAAGGACATTAAAAAAGTAGCCAAATCTATCTAAGGCCAACTTTGCATGTGGGAGTTGAAACCTTAATTTCTGACTACTGAGCTGATGATACCCTCAGGGACTGATAGTCCACCAGCAGAAGTTTCAAGTTAATATTAGTATTTTTTTGCAAAAAAAAGACCAAATGTGGCAATTAGTAAAATAAAAAAAGAAAGAAATAGCAACACAATGACACACTTGTTTGTTAGGCAATTTATATCATAGCATATCAGTTTTGGGAAAAAATGATTTTGTATGCGCTTATTTGTATTATAAAAGTAAGTCACTGTGATTTTAATTTAAGAATTTCACACTAAGGAGAAAAAGAACAGTTTTTATTATCATTTATCTTCGGTTTGACATTATCTAACTCAGTCACTAAGAGACTTTTAATAGATTGATAAATGGTCAACCCGCAAAGCCTCATAAAATGTTGCATCTAAACTCGACAGGTATTCCAAATAAATTATCTTCCATTTTGATATTTCTTACTTGAGACGTAAGGGTGAATCATTCCCGATTACTAAGATTTGATATGAATAAAGGCTCATAACAGTCTGAATCGCTCACCTGGTAAAAATATGCTATTTTGATATCTATCTCACCTTTATTGCAATCAGTTATGTTTGTTAATTTGTGTATCTTATTTTGTGGCAATTTTGTAACTTGTATATCTTTAAAAAAAAAAAAAGAAAAGGCAAAATATAGGAATAAGCATAGAAATTCCCGATGAAGGCTAATCCAGAAAAATTCTTCAGACGCATGAAATTTATAATATGTTTTTTTTTCTTAGTTTTTTGCATCACTGGTTCGATTCCGCTGCTGTTGGACTATCAGTCCACATGGGTATCAACAGCTCAGTAGTCAGTACGTTGGTATTGACATGACTTATATATAACTTTCTTAAAATGTCTGTTTATAAATTTATAAATTATTAAGAAACGAAGGTTTCAACTCCCTCAGGCAAAGTTGATAATATATGGATTTTGCTAGAATTTGTTGGTCTTTTTGGTCATGTACCTCATAAACTGTTTAGGTTCTTATGCATCCTTAACTTTTAAATATTCGACATTGAGCATCTCTGATGAAGATATGGTAAGATCATATGTTTTCGTACGTCATATGAATTCGCACTATGTCTGCTTTTTAAATGGAAATTGTGATGTCACAATGCATTCTTAAAAGCACGAAAACCCATGAGACGAGGATAAATCCAGAAAAGTGCTTCGGACGCATCATTTGACGATTTCTTCTATGCTGATTTAATTGTAGATTTTATTTTGCTGAACATTTTTACTACTGAAAAATTCTCTTTATCTACTATATTTTCCGCAAATATTTCAATATAAGAATAAAGAGCAACATTCAAAGGCATTAAATCCTTCAATGGGTCAATTGACAATTTCTGCCAAATCCCTTTTTTGTAGACCTTATTGTTCTTGTCAAGTTTACTGTTTAAAATTTCTTTCTGTCTGTTATAGTATTGAAGATAATAACCAAAATCTTCGAAAATTAGCAAAAATTGACACTTCAGGGGCAATTATATGTAAATAGGTTGTCTGATTTTTGTGATCTATAAGAAATAACGATTACTCTTGTCACCTCGTCAGTTGTGCTCTAACTGTTTTTGGCTTTGAGAGAACTTTTCTAATAATTGACATTTCAGGGGCAATTACTCAAAACGCAAAATTAGTTATCGGATTTTTATGATTATATGTAAACAGCTAGATCTTGACCTGCTGGTCAATTCTTTTTCTATCTATTTTGCACTAAATGCTTTAATTAATGAGATATTAACCAAAAACTGCATTTTACCCCTATGTTCTATTTTTAGTAACAGATGCCATGTTTATTGGTAGATTGAATCCTAAGATTTTTTTAACAAGATTCCCTTAAAGAGTAACGTACAAATAAAGTTAGGTAATATTTGGCGAAGTAGTTTCAAAATATTTTTTTTAAAGTTTACGACGGCGACGTAAGCCAAGTAATGGCAATAGCTCATATAGCCTTTAATGCCATGTGAACTTTAAAGTGAATAAGATGTCCGGAAACAGCATAAGCTTCCTGCATTTAGTATTAGTAGCCTTATACAACGCGACTATCATACAAATGAGAGGTTAAGCTAGCTATAAAACCAGGTTTTATCCACCATTTTCTTCATATGGAAATGTCTGTACCAAGTCAGGAATATGACAGTTGTTTTACATTCGTTTTTTATGTTTGAGCTTTTGATTTTGCCATTTGATAAAGGACTTTCCGTTTTGAATTTTCTTTGGGGTTCGGTATTTTTGTTATTTTACATTGTATCTGAATGTCCATCAAGTCTAACTATAAAACCGCACCAAATAAACAATTTCTTTCGAAAATGGCAGTCACAACGATGGATATGAGAAGGATATAAATGTTTCGCTTGTTGAACAGAGTAGCTCTCTGAACTCTCGATTACTAGAAGTAGTCTGCAAATTTACCAGAAATCTTGCAATGCACTTTTTATATTTAACATTTTACTGAACAAGAATTTTTCGCACCTTACTTAAAGTCAGAAAAGTACAATACTATATTTAAAAACGAACAAAAATCAAAGACAAAAGACCTGGAATTTATGATTTTTGTTTCTGTTTTTAAGCCACAGAACAGCGAAACACAATATCAAAACCTAGTTTTGAAAGTCCATGGTATGACGTAGCCGCCCAAGTCGATCGTATTCAATCCATACAACATAATCTACAAGACTACCCTGTAAAAGTGGATGTTCAGGTTAAAATTAGACATAACAACACCGATTATATTTTCACTGCCTCAAGATCCTCGCAAAGAGATGACGATTCAAACATACCTTACGGTGGAGCAGTTTACATTTACAATCAGAATGAAATAATTGTGACTTTTCCTGTGCGAAATAATCAAAATTCTGCCGGAGGACTTGCTTATACAGGTAACATAATTAACCGCAGTAAATATTGAAAATCTAGGCACAATTATGTTATTTTCAAACAGATACTTACAGTTCTTACCTCTTTCAACTAGTGATTTCGTCGTTTATTCATGTAATTAGTTTCTCGTTTCATTCCGAATTGGACCGTTGGTGATAGTAAGCACGCCTCGAGTGTTAAGTTTGTTAACTTGAACCCGTCTAGATCAAAAACAAACTTTATGTTCTTTTCGTATATTTTATGATAACACTTAACTCCTAACGGGAGGGATTGTGCTTGATTTTCATATGATGAAGACATACTCTTTCGATTAGTTTAATTGAGTTCTTAGTTCTTAGTCCTTTGTTAATTTATGTTGAGCATTGTCATTTTGCATAGTTTCTTCTGTTACCTATTCTGACATCGGAATCGGAACTCTTTTAAACTGAGTTTTACTGTGCGTATTGCTTTATGTTTGGGATCTTACTCTATGCATAACTCTGACTCAAAGCCGATCAGTTTTCTAAACTCTGTGCGCCTAAGGAGATAACAATGCATTCGTTTCACGTCCTTGTCCTTTGGGTATTGGTGGATAGTTGTCTTATTAGCAATCATACCATGTCTCATTATTTTCATATTATTCTTTTTGCCTCGAAATTTATTTTTTTCGTCAAAAGGAAAAAGTATTTCTTAAAAATATTTCTTATAATTTTATCTCGGTTGTTGAAAGGGTTTCGCAGGAATGTTAATTTCACATTAACAGCATACGACAATACCATAATCAAGTTGAGTGGTATGACTTGGCCGTCAAGGACACATCTGATCGTATTCTATCTATACAATATAATCTACAGGACTTCCATTTCATTGCTTTGAGATCCTATTATGTTTGTCTCTGAAAACGATCAAAAACAATAACGAAAAAGTCTATTATGTTCTTTTTCACGGGTTCAACCGAATATAAAGCATTTCTTTTCTATACAAGGCTCAATGACACAAAACACAAATATTCAATGGGATACAATCAAAACATAATAACAACATGTAAACAAAAATTTAAAATGGCAGGTGTTACGCCAAAAACAGTCCTTATCACATTCTCTTCACTAGAAGTATGATCAATAGCCTGCACAATCTCCAAAATATACAATTATTTACAAAATACAATTACAAAATATTAGAAACAATTCACAACTATATGAATGGGAAAAAAAAAAGGAATAAATACTGTAAATCAGGCAGTGTACATGTGCATCTATTAAATCGTACAATTCTAAAAGAATAGTCGTATACGTGTGAAAAACAGTTCACATAAAACAAAATTGTTTTTTTTTTCTTCAACAAATAAAAAAGTCAAACACACCTTAGAAGGAATTAAATTATAAACGTCTAGACTAGTTGAATGCAAACCGTCGAATGATTAAATTCCCGTTTAGCATGCACGGGTGAATCCACCCGTGCAAATTACTACGCATAACGGTACTCGTTATGCCTTGTGACGAAAAGAAATTTATTTATGTTCTTTTTCACCGGTTCAACCGAACATAAAGCATTTCTTTTCTATACCAGGATCAATGACACAAAACACAAATATTCTATAGGATGTGGGTTTGCAGCATCCAGTCGAGCCAAAAGGCAAAAGAATGCATATCAAATGCCAAGGTTTTTAGAAACAGAAAGTCTTTTTTACTATATTGTCTTTCACATATCCGTCTTTGGCATTTTCGGATCGCCAACGACCATGAACTTTGAAAAGCCTATCTGAAACACAGTTGTTTGCGGCTTGAGTAGCGCCTCCGCTTCGTTAACTACTCAAACCAAATTGCTTTTTGTCTAAACATATTGCGACTAAAGCTTCGAGAAGAATTTCTCTGGCTCTAGTGTAAGATAAAGGCTTATTTACTTTACTCAATACCAAAGTATCTTTTTTGGACTGGAAAGAACAAAACAAATGTACTCTTAAGCCTTGCCAAATCACAATAATGTTTTAAAAGATTAACAGGGCAAGTCGGCATATGCGTACTTGGTATCAGAACTATACTACCTTGTCTGTAAATATCGGTCTTGCTACTGTGAATACTTATTTCAACGTGTGTATTATGAAAACTGATATCACTCATTCTTATATGCGAGAGTTCTTTGTATCTAAAAAATCCAGCATAAGCCAATAATAGCATACAAAGTAACCTACAATTTGACAGGTTAGATTTATCATGATACAGGTTAAATAGTTTAACAATAATATCCGCTTTGATTGGTTCTTTCTTTTGTACGGGTTTCGCCAGAATCCTTTTTCCCGCTTCTAAGACAATGTTTGACAGTGAACTACAACAAGGGTTTGGATATAAAAACAATTCGTGATACCACTTAATTTCGTAAAAGCTAGAGTTAAGTACGGACACTGAACAAGCTGATTGTATTAAATCTGTGAGATACAAGGAAACCGTAGATACATCCGCAGGCAAAAACTTTAAATTGTACTTTCTGCACCATTTTTTGAATTTATTAAAATATAAATCGTACTTCTTGTTTGTGGAATCTGATTTACTCTTTTTATTCATATCTATAACTGCAAAAGCGGTATTATGTAAACCAGGTGTGCGCGAGATATTGTAGATATCTTTCTATTCCTTACTCAAAGGGATCTGCAAAAGAAATGGAAAGATATTAATGTCCTATCAAGGACAGAAAATTACGGCCAGGTCCGTGACACAAGCGTCCAGGTCCGCATATAAAGCACATGTACACTGTACTATCTACAGCCACAATATAAAAATAAAGTGCAGCAAGGTCCGCATAAAGAAATTGTCACTGAAAATTCATTCATAAATTTTTTAGCATCAAGTTTTAATATAAGCACATCAGAAATAAATCTACTTTCATTGAAAACCAAATTTTCAACAGAACCCCTGTTGAAAAAATTAGAAGGGGTTTCATACTGAACAGATTTATCATGTTATGGAGGGTTATTTGCGAAAAATTCCAGTCAAGGGACTAAAATTTCCCGAGCCGCTAGGCGAGGGAAATTCGGTCCCAAGACTGGTATTTTTCCCAAATACCCCTCCATAACTTGATTTATCTGTTTAATTACACCGAATAGATTTGGATTGAAACTAATTCATTAACATATTTATGAATAATTTTGAGGATAAGAGGATATTATCATAGAACCGCGGGAATTATGCATGTTCTAGTACGCGTTAGCTCGCTTTTTTATGTAACGTCATATCCGAAAAATTTTGGCGGGAAAATGCTCGAGAGGGTAAAAAAGGAATATCCAAAATGGCAAATACCATGGTATTTGAGGCAAATTCACCGGCAGTGGTGAAAAACAGGCAAATTCGTTTGAAATGAGGAAAAAATATTAGAATATGCGAAAAATACACTGGCTATCAACCAATCAAAATCTGGCTTTCTTATATAAGGGTAATTATCAACAAAATTTTGCACTAAACTAACAAACTTACCGGTGTCAACAGACACCAGCATCTGCCAAAAAGCTGCCGATTTGCACTTCGGGATAACCGATGTACCTTTGGCTTTACATAATTGAATATGATTAACAGTGTGAGATATTAAAGATACAGGTGGCACGAGCCAATTATCGCTTGACCAATCAAATGTGAAACCATCGATACCTTTGGTTAAAGGATCAAAGAACTTTGAATTATACCTTGGGAGTTTAGCATTGTTACTGTCAGCAAATCGATTTATGCTAAAAGGTCCCCATATTTTACTAAAGTAATGGAAAATTCTGTCAAACACCGACCGATCGTCAAAATCAAAGATTTTACTATACTTATCCGCGGTAGTAATCAAAGTTCTTGGTATCCATTCAATTTTCAAACACACCGAGTTTTCTATACAAAAATAAAAAATCTCCATAGCTAGATTGTGCAAATCCTGTTTCATGCTGCCAACTTCAGATATGTGAGCTACATTTTGGTTATCGGTGAATAGTTTTACAAATTTATTTTTAAAGTGATCCGGAAAATTTTTGAAAGTCAAAATCACTCCCTTAATTAGGTTCTCTCCAAGTGGAACTTTTTAGCTTTTCTTCATTTGTCCACATCTGATGCGCAATTTGATCAGAAAAATGCACAATATAGCCGGCGCCCGCATATGAACTTGCATCAGTATAAGCTAGCCTCTCGGGAAGTCTCTGAATTGGTGCTAACACGCAATTAGGTAAAGATTTTAGTGAAGAATGCCAAAATTCTAACTCTTTAATGGACATGTGATCTAACTTAACTATAGAGTCCCAAGAGGATCGCTCGTCTACTAGGTGATGTAAATCTCTTGTCATAATTCTACATATACTACCTAGTGCGGGTGATAATGCAATGATTTTACCAATTACCGCTGCAACTTTCCTCGAAGTCACATTACAAGGATTTATAAGAACTAAAGCAATAAAATTCAAATATTCAACATTTTCTTTTCGGGTACGCGTAAAATACCCCTATGTAAATCCTATACAAAACCAAGCCAATCTAAAGTTTTTTTGTGGCTTCCACACACTTTCATAATTTGGCAAGAAACCAGCAGACAATAAATCTGACAATACTTCTTTAGACACTTTTAAACATAATTCTTCAGTATATTCAAATCCGAGTCCATCATCTAGATATACTATAATTTTGAATCCTTTACTACGCCAATATTTTACTAGAAGGGGTACCATTTTAGTGAAAATATAACAAGCTGAGCTCAGCCAAAAGGGTAAAGCTGTAAACGTGTAAAATGTAACTTTACTGCCACTTTTCCATGAAAAACCCAAGAAAATTTTGTGATTCAATATGCATATCTATATGACGGTACCCGTGTCTCAAATCAAAATTAAATGCAAATTCTTTTATTTGCTGCATACGTTTTGGCCTCTTTTACACCCTCATATTTAAATTTAGATAACACTTCGTATTGATTAACATGTCTAAGGTCAAGAATCAGCCTTGCCTTGCCAGACCAGTTTACCGACGCCGATAAAGTATTAACAACAAAAGGGCCAGTGCTAACTTCCTTAGCGACTCTCGTTTAACAAAATCGGCGATTGCACGTTTAACAAAATCTGCGATTGCACGTTTAACAAAATCTTGGTGTTCAAAAGCAGATCTATTGTTATTCAAAGATACAGAAGGAGGTGTATCGGTAAATTTTAAAAAAATAACCAGATTCAAGTATAGGTAAAACTAAATTTTTTAAACTATCAGCCAATAAAAGTTGTAAACTATATTATAATCGACCGTTTATATCATAAACTTGTATTGGCTCGTTCTCATACTAGTATGTATCTAAACATAAATTAAAGTCAATCAAAGATAATACCTCATTTGGAACTACTGGTGTTGTTGGACTTGTTAGCTATTTCGGGACAGTTAGACGACCAGTGTCCTGTGGCACAACAGTAGTAGCAGATGTCTTCAGGAGATGGTCCTTTCCTGGCTCTGAAGTTTGCGGTGCTGGATCTTGGACCATTATATATGGGTGTTGTTTGTGCACTATTGGTATAACTTCTTGTTTCAGGTATTCGCTAAAGACACGAAAAAGTTTGTCAGCTGCGAATTTCTTCGATAAGTCTTTGGGTGCGACTGCCTTTCTTTTACGTATAGCCCTGGTTTGGGCCTTTCGTAGACGGCGCTCATCTTCAGAATTAACAGCAAGAGGATTACCTTCATACTCGCTGACGGTGTCCCAACTATGCTTGTCACCAATCTTGACAGTTTTGTTGCGAGCAGCAATATCTTGTTGGACTTTTTCAACAGTTTTAAGGGCAAAGTCACGATTATCTGACGAAATGGCGGTTTTCAATATGTCAATGTCCTTGGACACTTGATCGTTGAATTCGCACTGCTTTTTATTACTAGCAAATTTGAATTTGAAGTCAGGCAAGTTGGTTTAAGGCTAGAATTTTTGCTTCAAATACTGTGAAGATCTCCTTTTTCTGTTTTTCTAAGGCGTTGTCTAAATGTTTGGAAAACAACCAGAAAGCATCAGCTGTAGGGTTGTTTGTAGGACTATCAACTTCACTCCTATGATGACTTCTTGCAGATGCACGTTAAGGAGGACTTTGGATTTCCTCGTCAGACTTGAAGGAAAAGGAAGTCAAGCAGACCTTAGCAGAAATTGAATTATAAAACCTCTAGACTGGTTGAATGCAAACCTTCGAATGATTAAGATTGCCGCTTAGCATGCACGGGTGAATCCACCCGTGCAAATTACTACGCATAACGGTACTCGTAATGCCTTGTAACGAAAAGAAATTTATCTATGTGTTTTATGTTGTACATTCAATAGGCTCTTATGGATTATACCAAGGACCAGCAAATATTAATTTACGAGGACCATACTTTAAGGGAAAAGTAAAGGCAAGAGCATGGCTATCTTCAGATCTCCCAACAGCTTCCATCAACATGTCTGTTTACATGAACAGTGAGTACAATATTGTTTTTGAGTAAACAATATTCATGGAAGTCTGAACATTATGTATTATCACCATAAAACATTTATGGCGTATTTGTAGGACAAACAATTAATAAGATAAAAATATTAAGGTGCATAATTATGTATTAAACACACACACACATATACTTTCTTAAGTGGAATATCAATACTGAAGTTGAAAAATCATATCTGTAACATTGAATTAATGGTTACACATGCATTTTTTTAACACGAACCCCGCTGAAACCCGGGGTTATCTCAGGTGCTCCCGAAGGGTGAGCAGATTCTGCTCAACATGTGACACCCGTCTAATTCTGTAGGTTACAGTCGGGGAAAAGAGGACGGGATTGTGGTTACGACAATTGGAACATATCCGTCTGTGAAACAGGTATTCAATAATGGCCAACCAACTCGTGATCGCATTCGTGAAATTCACGAAAGGATGGTTCAACTTCACCATTTGGAACTCTTTGTTTAATAGCTTCCTTGTGAGGAGCAACCCTCTATCAAGGAAACCATGATAGAAAATACAAACCTTGGAATATCTAATAAACTGAAAGACATATACACCGTATGCAGGTAATGATGGAATGTTGCTTCATAGGAATTGATTGATTGGTGATTAATGCCACTTTCAACAATTGTTTGCTATTCCGTGGCGGTCAGTTTATATTGGCGGAGGAAGCCGGAGTGCCCGGAAAGAATCAGCGACCATCGGTAGGAAAAATGACAATACTAGTCAATTATAATTGGAGTCGAGTGCACCTCCCCGTGCGGGATTCGAATTCACAACCTCGATATAGAATGGAAAGTTCACACTTGAGAAGCTTTAATCATCCCTTTAGTCGTAAAGTTTTGTTTTAAACTGACCCTCATTGTCAGTTTCTGTGTGTTAAAAAAGATATGTGACAGAATTAACTGTTTCTCTTATATAACGTGCTCATATATATATATTCGAATTTAGAATTTTCCAAGGTGCAATTTAACTGTTAAAAGTTGGAAGTTTTCAATCTTGACAGTATTTCTAGACAGAAATGCAGCAAACTGGTCCTGTTTTCGTGTATCGATCATGTTTCGTAGGTTGGCTGCTAGTTTACCAGTCCTATTATTTCAGAGGATTAAACTGTTATTTTACCTGTTTTCTTAACGACGGTTTACCGTTGTGCTATTACGCGGATACGTTTTATCCAGGCGGTGCCGGTCTTGATAGCTATACATGCAAACATGCTATCAAATCAACAACAGTCATAAAAATGTTTATTCTTTGATTAACTTTAAGTAGAAACCTCCAACTTTCTCAAATTAAAAAATGATTTTAATCGAACGGATTTTAATTATGGCTTTCCATGTTCAATTATTATGCATTTGAGATTTTTTGTCTTGACGTATGACCAACATTCTAAATTAAATTATACATTATATTCAATAATGTTCTCATTCTTAGGAAATTTGAATTACAAAGAGCTGAATCACAACATGAGCTTTAATCCTGACATCATGTCTGTACAAATTAAGTTGAAAGAATGCAGTAAACAAATATATGATGGTTATATAGCTGAAGCAGAAGGTAAGCAGATATCTTAAACTGAATTATATTTGAACCTTCAAAAATGTACGAAAATCAAATATAAAGGTTCGTCATAACATTTTGTCAAATATGGCCGTGTCAACATCACAAGTTTTATTCTGAGTAAAGACTAACCTTGTAAAACTGAAAAGGTTTTAAGTCATGTTTGGACTTAGTGTAAAAGCTAAATGCATTTTGTTTATTTAGAAAATTAAATATTTATAGGATTTTGGTGTCCATTGTATCGTTGCTACAAAGGGTGGCATAAATAAATTAATGCAAAAGAGAGGATATGGTGTATCAATTCATGACACAAAATATCAAAAAAAAAACAAAGGAGCAGCGTTTCATTTTCAACCACAAGAGGGTTTTAGATGCCTTTAACATCAAAGATGTGAAATTCAAACCTCCGGATTGCTCATGTGCATCGTCAAAACACAATTATAGTCCAACTGGTCATGTTATTACTGGCGACCTTGGCATCGTAACGAATGAACAACTAAGAGAGTTGTTAGCCAAGGAACAAAAATATAGAATTCCCCAGCCCATCAACTGAAAAAAGAACTTCAGGTTACTGATGGATGCAGTTGAAGACTATGCCAGAAAATGAGTAAAAGGCGAGCCTGGTGAACCAGAACTGGACACTTTGTCTGAATGGATCAAAGCTATTCGATCATGCATTCAGAAACGCATTCAGAAACTACGATGTACTATGAGCACAAGGGTTTCTAACCAATTCAAGAACCCAGAGGTTGTGGATGTTCTATCCTCTTTGCATAACAAATATGTCGTTGTTCCAGCAGATAAATCCTCAAATAATATTGTCTTCATATGTAAAAACCATTACTTGGAATGTCTCATAAAAGAGCTCGAAATAAACAGTAAAACTGGTAATCCTACATATTCTTTAACATCATTTACAAAGGATAAAACTTTACAAAATCACAAATCCGTCCTTCTTTCTTTTGGCATTAACATCAAAGAAAACGAAGAAAATCTACCGTCATTATACTGGATACCAAAATTTCACAAAACTCCTTATAAAGAACGATACATAGCTGGATCATCAAGATGTTCAACTTAACATCTTTCTAAAGTGCTGACTACTATTCTTTCTACAGTAAAAGATGGCCTTCAAAATTTTGTGATGAAATATATTCAACCAGTGGGGTCAATCTGATGTGGATTCTTAAAAATTCTGAAGATCTACTGCTAAATCTTACATCACAATCTCTGCAATTTTGCAGCAACATTAAAACTTTTGATTTTTCTACGCTTTACACTACTATTACCCATGCTCAGTTGAAAGATCGACTTCACCATCTCATCAAACAGAGCTTTTTCTATAAAAATGGGAATCGTAGATATAAATTTCTTGTTTTGGGTTATAATAATTCTTATTTTGTGAAGAACCACACTGAAAATATACTGAAGATGATATTATCAAAATGCTGGACTTTTGATCGACAATATATTTGTTGAGTTTTGAAGATTGATATTTCAACAGACAGTCGGTATTCCAATGGGTACTAATTGTGCACCCCTACTGGCCGATTTATTTTTGTACTCGTATGAAGCAGAATTCATTCAGAGCCTTCTAAAAGACAAAAAGAAAAAGCACCTCGCGAAATTCTTTAATTTTACTTTCAGATATATTGATAACCCATATTTCAGTCAGTACTTACATCTCATATATCCCAGTGAACTTGAAATGAAGCCGAGTCCCAATTATCAATTTCCCATTTCTCAGCAGCAACATACCTTCTGCCCCATTGTATGGTGTTTACATATCTCAGTTGATACGTTATGCTCGTGCATGTTCACACTATAAGGACTTCATATACAGGAGTGTGCTCCTTACGTAGAAACTGCTCAAACAGAGTTATGAGGAGGAAAGATTAAAAATGACACTCCGTAAATTTTAGGGACACCATCACGAATTGATTGATCTATACGATGTGTTTGTGTCTAAACTAACTAACGACATTTTTACCACGTCTTAGATTGTGGTTTACCATCTACGTCGTCTGGTCTGCTAAGTACCGAACGTGACCTATTCCCGAATATGACTGTTTTCCCGAGTATGAATTCGCATTGCTATACGACGTTTCTCGGTATTTATACATCAAACATTCATGTATTTAGTTCTGATGTTTCGTTTGTAAGCCTTGTTAGATATTGTGTTATGTCTTATTATTTGTGGTTTGAATTCTATTTTTATTAGATTATATGTATGTGAAAGTTAAGATAATTAATCAGCTAGTTCTTTTATATGATTTTTAATTTAAAGCAACTATATGCACAGGATTTATTTTTATTTTCAGAAGAAAAACCGACATGGTTAAAAAAAACCAAATAATTACATCATTACTAACACAACTCTGTATTAATATTCTTATAATGGTTAGAAAATACATAAAATAACACAATTACAAACTTAATCCCAATTTCATATTCTAATTTTAGAAATTAACCTGTGACGTCACTTTTTGTGGCGTTGATACATTCGTGTGACGCACAGTTCATAATTCTATTGTGGTGTACATGGGAGGTGTCCGTTGTTATTCTGTGGTTAACATGTTGTAATGTACTGTTACGTTATTTATTTATGTATTTCTCTGTCCTGAGTGTTCTTGCGTTTATTTGTACTGTATTCCTGTCAAGTAATGTTGTCATTTTAGCGGTATTTTTAACATTGCCATATATAAGCGGGAGGTTTGGCTAGCCATAAAACCAAGTTCAACCCACCATTTTTTCTTAAAATGTCCTGTAAAAAAAAAGTCAGGAATATGGCAGTTGTTATCAAATAGTTAGTTTCTATGTATGTTGGAGTTTGTTTTTGTTGCAGTTCAGTGTTTCTGTTGTTCCGTTTTTTTCCTCTTATAGTTGATGTGTTTCCCTCGGTTTTGGTATGTGACCCGCTTAATCGATTTATGACTATTGAACAGCGGTATACTACTGTTGCCTTTATTTAGATCAATAAGTATGTTTGTTTGAGTTTTTAGTCGGTTATGTTGTATGTCTGTGATGTATGTTTGTACAGTTTTGACTGCTGGATCCCAATTATTGTCACATTAACTTATTTGTCTGTTTGGGTTGCTTATATATAAATAAGATGATGTGGTATGAGTGCCAATGAGACAACTATCCATCGATCCAAGTCACAATGTGTAAAAAGTAAACAATTATTATCCAATTCTAGTATTTATTGTCCTTAGAAGTCAAATGATGCATGAAAAGATATTTTGCTTTCAGAGGTGCACAGAAATACTTGCTTGACGTTTTAATTGAAATATAAGGCGATATATATAATGAAGTTTTCCTTGTTCTTTTTTGTGATTATTTCATTATTAAAGGCACAGTTATGGACTCCACATATCAAGGAGACATTTGGGGACTTATATTCGGATACGACGACAACAAAGTACGTTTGTGGGGTAAGTAGAAAATTACATATAACTTACTATGTTTTCTCCGTTATAAGACACCAATGGACGTAAGAGACATAAATCAATTCGTTGTGAACAAGACACAATTACGGTCGATTTGTAAGTATCTTTTATCTCAAGTTGAATGCTGTGTTTACTTCACTAGTGACACCCGTTTGTTCTAGTGAAACCCGTTTTTTCACTGACCTGAAAATTTCGTTTTAGCACACCAATTTAACTATATCTGCCTGCTTTTTATCAATTTATTTTGACATTTTACCATGTAAAGAAGAAGACATTCTTAATATAATACTTACACCAGCAATCACTATCTTTTCGTTCTGGAGTTGGGGGCCTTTTAAACTCACTTATTTTAATGTAAGCTTGACCTATAAATCGTTAAGTTCCCAATTCGTGTTTGCTGCATTTATAAACTCGTGATTTGATAAATCACTTTCACAAATTGAACAAATATGAAAGCTATGATATTAGTGAGTAGATTTACGAATTATAAAACGTAGTTAATGAACTTCGTTTTGTGACGGGATTGCTTCCCTTCATTAGTAGATACTTAGTCAGCCGTAAGCGGTTGAGCTAAGGAAGTACTTCTTTAGCGCAGTCGGTTAACGCGCTGCCTTGTAATACAGAGGTCCCGGGTTCGAGTCCCGGTGGAGACAAGCAATTTTGTAATGAAATTCATGCTCTCCGGTTACAGTTTTATAAACACCTGTGAAACAAGTAGTCAGCCACAATAAACTATCAATAGACTAATTAAAAGATTACTCCAGTTATAAATATGTGCTAAATTGGATTGCAAGTAGAATCATGCTCTCCTTTTACATTTGGCGCCCAACTAAAAAACCCAAGGTGGTTAGAGAGGAATTCTAGCTAGGGTATGTGTTGTGAGAGTCATAATGGTATGATGACTCTTGAGGTGGGGGAAGTGTGACGGAATTGCTTCCCTTCATTAGTAGATACTTAGTCAGCCGTAAGCGGTTGAGCTAAGGAAGTACTTCTTTAGCTCAGTCGGTATACGCGCTGCCTTGTAACACAGAGGTCCCGGGTTCGAGTCCCGTTGGAGACAAGCAATTTTGTAATGAAATTCATGCTCTCCGGTTACAGTTTTATAAACACCTGTGAAACAAGTAGTCAGCCACAATAAACTATCAATAGACTAATTAAAAGATTACTCCAGTTATAAATATGTGCTAAATTGGATAGTCAATGGAAAGGTATATACTATGAAATTACATGCTCGAGGCAAGCCCCTCGCTCTAAATTTCATAGTATATACCTTTCCATAGACTAACCGATAAATCAACGCTTCCTAAATCAGTTGCTGAAATGGACTCACCAAATTATATTCAATTGTTTCCTTTGAGTGCCTAATTTCATTAAGTTTGAATTGGTTTACCTTTAACTTTTGTAATTTTTATATGCCTTCTCTGGGTATCGAACTCCTCCTTGAAATCTGTTATGTGTGACTGACATCAACACATCGACGAAACCTCTCGGCTACCAATGGGTTGCAATTTAGATGTCTATTATATATATATAAATGAACATATGATGCATATCGGTACAACGGACACACAGAGCTTGTGCCTTTATTATATATACATAATAGACATTTTCGAAAACTGTTTTAAACTTTTATGTTTACATTGATGATGACATTTACAGATAATTCTATAGGGACCATCTTAAAGTGTACAATGTTGACAAATTGAAAAGCGCATTACGCAAACTATGTTTTTTTTATTTAAATTAACGAAACACGTCGTGACGCCTGCATACCTGCTCAACCGCTTACGGCTGACTAAGTATCTACTAATGAAGGGAAGCAATTCCGTCACACTTCCCCCACCTCAAGAGTCATCATACCATTATGACTCTCACAACACATACCCTAGCTAGAATTCCTCTCTAACCACCTTGGGTTTTTTAGTTTTTTAGTTGGGCAGCACAGATATTTACAATTTGACAGAGTTTTCTCCCGGGAAGTCTCCAAAAACTTACTCTAGAATTCTTCAGTTCTCCAATTGAACAACATAACTATACTTCTCAGGGAAAGTTTGTGTGACCTGTCAGTGTGACGCTGGAAAATATCATTTGCAATTTGTCTCAATATGTCTAAAGGTTGCACTTTGTAAATACATCTGTTTCACAAGCCACGCCTCTTTTGGGGAGATATATAATATTCATAGATAGTTTGTTTTGTTTACGTACTGGTTCACAGATATGATCTCTGTGTTTCATCTCATAGAGACATAACTTGGAAATGTTACCAGTATAGAAACACATGGTAGCGCCGTAAATTTAATTCTGAGGAAGACCAACAGTGGAGGTAGGGGTAGTACAGAATTTTAGTATAAGTTTAAACTCGTCGAAGTTCAGGGCATATAAATGTTGAAAATATGCCGCACCGCCCTATATTTTGACCTTTGAATAAAATAGTAGTGCATATCAACTTTCCGTTCTAGGATATATTTTTTTACGAAACTTCATAGTAAAAGTGGCACAGTTTTAGCCGCAAAAGGTGTTTCTATGGGAAACATTGTCAATATCTACAGAATTGCAACCTAAAAGGGTTTCGGGTGTTATTCAATTTCTTGATAAAAGAAGTGTCTATGACGTGAAAGCATTTTAAAAACATCGTTTCCTTCCCAAGTGTCTACGAAATGCTTAAAGTCAATCTGATGACATACGAGAAAATCTCAGGTTGGAAATGTCATCTGGGAATGGAAAATAATAACAAACAAAAAAGTGCTGCAGTGAAAGAGGTGGGAGGGCAATGCAAACGTCTTGCGATGGAAGATGAGGGCGGGTAAAAATAACCGTCATGCACTGGAAGAGGCGGTCGGAAAACTGTCTGACGAGCAGCAGCCCGGCCATACTGTTTCAAAGAAAAGGAAAGCTGAGCCAAAAACAGCATCATTGATGCAGCTAGTTAAATAGAATCATATGAGCAATGAGAATTTGATGGCGAAGAAAATTCCTAAAATAATTGTAAAAATCCTTGGGAGTTGGCTCTTCTTCAGAATCAAACAATTACAAACAGTATCAAATATTGTTAATAAATAGCTTATTTTATTTTTGAAATTAAAATCATTTCTCTCATTGTTTTCATTTGTTAAGCACCGTTCTTTCGAGACATTGTGTATTTTGAGATGACCTAAGGGTTTGCTTACCTGTAATTATCATCGTCAACTTAAAAGTCATTGTGAACTTTAGTTTCCGAAAATGTCTAATAGACAATCGTATAGTATAAGTTGGTAGCTGCGAGGTTTAGATCAATGAGTTATAGAGTCAAGTTAGAAATAGAGACTTGTCGGTTTAGGTTCTTGTTTTTCCGTATTTCTTATTTTGTATGTTATTATGAATATTTTTGTAATAATAGCGAGTTTTCCCATTTATTATCGGATTATTATTGCCTTTTTTAAGTATGTTTATTGGTATAAAGCGGTGTTTTACTATACATGTACTTCCTTACATGGTAAGATGACAAAATAAATTGACCAAAAGATGGCAATAATTAAACTGCAGTGGAAGCTTATCATGTCTTGAAAACATTTTTCAATTTCACAGTAAAACTAAAGCTATAATAAATTTGAAACATATAGATAGCATACAGTGGCTGATCCAGGGGGGTCCGGGGATTGGAAAACCCCCATTTTAGGACGATCACTGGTTTTGGATTGGGACATATGGTTGGAACCCCCCCCCCCCCTGCTTTATCCTGGGTTGGAACCCCCTTTTAAAAATGGCTGGATCCGCCCCTGGTATGCCCCTATAGATAGTCTAGCGGATAGTCATTAAAAAGCAACTACCAATAGATCAAAGAAACTAGGGTTTATGTTTTTTGTTTTTTTATTTCAAAGTAAAAACTAAAAGATGTATCAGAACATGTATATACATATATATATGTATAGGTGGCACATTCTCTTCAGACATTATTACGGTTTTTTAATTCATGACATCGTCCTGAACATACATGAAATATTTGCCACTGGACATTAAGCAACCAATTATCAATCAATCAATCAATTCATGACGAAATAGATCAAGTTGCCTTAATTTCCCTTCATAAGGTTTCTTTGTACACACTTTTTTGTGTACAAAGTAATTGCATGGAGGATAAATTATCACAATTTTAAGATGGCGTTGTACTCTAATCAAGGTATGAAGAACCATAATTGTTACTCTTTATTTAAATGAAAGAAACTTGCAATCGTGAAAAGCAGTTTTTAAATCCAAAGATTTTAATAGCAGGATATTTAAAATTCAATGTGAAAACTATATTACCAACTATTTAATTTAATTTGGAACACAGCATTTTATTTCAAAATAGCCAGTGGTAATTTTTGTTTTAATATCTTGATTACGATACAATAAAATCTTACCCTTGTGGTCATTCATGCGTAGTTACTTAGTACACGGAAAAGGTATTTAAAAAAGTAATTAAGGTTAGCACATACTTACAACTTCTCGTCCAATCAAATTGCTAGAATTTGCCTTCTAATTTTAGCACATACTTACAACTTCTCGTCCAATCAAATTGCTAGAATTTGCCTTCCAATTTTCATAGTACATACTTTTTCTTATCCAGACACGCCGTATCCCGAGGTGTATAACTAACTTACACCCAATACTTAACCCTATATTTGTTAACATTGATTATTAAATGAAAAAGAACGGATAGCATATATTTATTGACAAAATCAAACCATGATGTATAAGAAAAACATTTTTTTTACATGAAACCCCACTAGTAACCTTACTTTGGCTATGTTCGTTCAAACTTTGACAAATGAGTAGATTTTACAAATGTCAAAGTTGCTGTTTTGCATATTCCCGTTAAATCCTGGTGCTAATATTTGAATCAGCAGTTCAAGGTTGACCGTTCCGTGCATTCTTATTACAAAAAAATACATCATGCTCCTTGTATGCAGTTGTCAATATGGACGGGTATAAGACGGACGACATTTTGAGTCAAGCGTATGATTTGG